CTCTAGGAATCTCTAGGATTCTCTAGGAATTCCTAGAAATTTGTAGTCTCTGGGAACTTCTCGGAATCTCTAGGATTCTCTAGGAATTCCTAGGAATTTGTAACCTCTGGGAACGTCTAGGAATGTCTAGGATTCTCTAGGAATTCCTAGGAATTTGTAGCCTCTGGGAACCTCTAGGAATGTCTAGGATTCTCTAGGAATTCCTAGGAATTTGTAGCCTCTGGGAACCTCCAGGAATCTGTAGGATTCTCTAGGAATTCCTAGGAATTTGTAGCTTCTGGGAACCTCTAGGAATGTCTAGGATTCTCTAGGAATTCCTAGGAATTTGTAGCCTCTAGGAACCTCTAGGAATCGCCAGGATTCTTTAGGAATTCCTAGGAACTTGTAGCCTGTGGGAACCTCTAGGAATCTCTAGGATTCTCTAAAATAATCTGCGGGGGTGAGGGTGCAGTGCTGGACGCCGCAGCCTTCCCTCGCGCGAGTAAGTTCCTGCTTCACGCCCCGCCTGCTGCCGCCATGACGCTTCGTTACAGTGTCGGGGACTACGAGTGCTTTGAGTGTGGTAGCACTCAATTGGAATACGGCCAGGCCGGTGGGGTCCTTCGGGGTTCCTTCTGTCCTTCCGGGTGTCTTTTTCCTAGGGCTTTGGGGTTGCTAGGGCTTTGTGCCGGGCTGGTGGATGTATTTTTTTCCCTCAAAACACACGCAGCAGCAGGACAATCATTTTTGGTGCGTTGAATGTGGGGCTTTGAACCCCTCAGTGGATCCCCTCGGCCTCACGACCATCGATGAGGAGTGTGTCCTTTGGGCGCTGGTGTTCTTCGGGTTCTTAGGTCTGGGTTTCGGCGAGTTTCTGTATTCTTTGTCTTTGAAAGGGAGGTTCGATCTGAATTTCTAATCTCAATTGGTTTACTTGCATCAGGACGAACACGTGGACGTGCAGATTTTTGAGCGGCGCACACCAGATGGCCGTATCTTCCACGAGGATCCTGGGTTGGGTTTGGTTTAAGACTAGACTGCTTTCTTCAGGGTTCTGCTTCTTCTAATTCTCTTCCGTAGGGTTTTGTTTTCTTAGCTTATTTCTCCGGGTTCATAGACACTCCAGGCATGCCACACGCACAAGTGCGATCTTTCGAAACGACGCTGGCGGCGGCAGTGTCGGTTCCGGGCAGATGCAGGTCGAGGGGGGCGGGGGGAAAGCACATTTTGAGGTCTGGTTTCTATAGTGGGCTTACTGTTTTAGTTCTTTTCTTTCTGGACGACCCCAGGACTTACTCCGACGCATGCAGTGCGCCCTTTCGGGTGGCACGGAATTCGAAAGTTCATTTGCAATTTTGCAGCCGGCCTGGAGCCACCGCTAGCGGGAGGCAGAAATTTCTGCGGGGACCTCGTCCGCAAGTGGCGCGGCTGGATCGAGCGCGACGAGGCCCGTGTGCTGAGAAGGGCCTGGCGTCCCTACAATCACGTAATTAAGAAACGGGGCCCCCGCAAAGGCCGGGCGGTTTCCCGCAAGAAGAAGTCGGAGGCGATCTGATTTTAAGTGTTTGTCTAGTTTATGTTCCTTTAGAATTTTAGGAGCATTAGAGATAACACTAGTAGCTAGGGGTTCTAAAGAAAATTCGCAAATCAAGCACCTCCGCGGTTGCATGTCTTGCCTGCGTGCTTTTCTGGACTTCGGTCCCGCTGCACGCGTGTAGTTTCATGTCGGATCAGAGCCTTTCAATTCGCCGCGCGCGGCCTGCAAAACACAAGGACTGCCGCTGCTGCGGCCGGGGAGGGGCTTGGAAGGGCTTGGGTTTGTTTTTTGTTGGTTTATTGCTCAGGGAATTAAGGTTCTGGAGTTTTACGGTTCGGGCGGGCGAAAGCTTTTCTTCTGTTAAAGGCTTTGGGTTCCAAAGGGTTTGTAACGGGATAGCGGGTTGCTAGCTTTCTTAAGGGACTTCCGTGTTTTATGAGGGCTGGTCAGGGTCGTAGTCCGGGCGCTTAAACGGCAAAGATTCTTGAGGGGCTGCGGGGTGTAAAACGGGTCTTAGGGTTGGTTCTTCGGGGTCTGGTTCTAGGTCTTTGCTCTGCGAAAGGGTTTCTTGCCTTCCAGGTGGTAGGGCTGCAAGGCTTTAACGTAGGGGCGTACTCGACTATACGTTAAGGGTCTCCTAGCTCGCAGCCTTGTTGTCTTTTGGGGGTTCCTTATTAGAAATTATAGTATAACATACCCCAAAGCCCTATTCTCATTATTAAAAGCCCTCCAATAACCCCCATGCCGAGTATTTGACATGACTCCGGGTCATTTGAGAGCTAGAGGCCAAGGAGGGATCCCCTTCTTTGCTCGGCCGCCTCAACCGTCAGCCGTAACCTTGAACCGGGTTTAAGGTTTAGGGAGTAGGGTTTAGGGTTTAGGGTTTGGGGAACTTTAACCCATGCCCTGGACACTAAACCCGTAGCCCAAACACTGCCTACAAACCCTTACAAACCCTAAACCCTGACCCCTACAGCCCTAACCCGAAACTCCGAGCAGCAATAGACCCTAACTCCTGAACCCCGCTAAGGCTGCGACATCTCATCGCACGAATTCGTGCAGTCGCTGTGCATCCGTGGACTTCTGTCGCAGCTGGAGTTCAACAGCAGCAAACCACGGCCTGATCGTGGCTTGGCATGGGGATTTTACTAGCATAGTAAGGTATGGTATAGTATAGCATAGGATAGGATAGGATAGGATAGGATAGGATAGTAGAGTAGAGAGTGGTATGGAATACTATATAGTACTGCATAGTAATATGGGATAGTACCAGCATGTCAGAGGGCATTTCGGGTCGCGGGCCATGGTAGCAAGGTTGGATTTGTGGAAGCAAGGCCAATAAGCACCACACAAGGCCCCAAACCTTAAACCCTAAACCCTAAACCCTAAACCCTAAACCCTAAACCCTAAACCCTAAACCCTACACCTTGCCTTGCCTTCCACGCTGTTCGCGACAGTGACAAACGAACGATATACATGAGGGCTGTTAATATAGGGGCCTTAATAATTAGAAATTGGTTTTGGGGTTCCTTAATATAATTGTAGTATTATATACCCCCAATCCCTATTCTAATTATTAAGGCCCCTACATTAGCGTTCAGCGCTGTCTTGGGTTTGGGTCTTGTGGGTAGAGCAGAGCGCCTCTAGCGTTTCCGGTGTTGGGGTTTGGGGTTTGTTTCGGATGCCCGGCTTCACCTCAACCTGGGAGGGCCTCGGAAAGCCGTCGCAAGCGTTGGCAGGTCTTTTCCGGGCTTTTGCATGTTCGCATCTGGACTTCTAGCGGAAGTATAGGCCAAGCAAGCTGCAACCTGCGCCCGACAGCCTGTAGGCCCGTTCGTACTTCGCCGCCTCTTGCATGTTCTAACCTCGCAATTCTGGAAAAAATGTAAGTGCGTGAGCTTGAGCGACTGTTGCTTCTCCTCGGGCCCTTGTTTGGTTGTTTCACATCACCCTAACCCCAGAATACCCTGAAGAAGTTCTCAAAGCCCCATAAGCCCCCCAGGCCCTCAACCCGGAGCCTCGACTGTAAGAGTTTAGGCTTTAGGGACTAGGATTTAGGATTTAGGGAATTTAGGGTTTAGGATTTAGGCTTTCGGGTTGCCTTTGACGTTGAGGCTTCCGTCGCATGTTTTCCAGCCATGCGGGCATCACCTCCGATGGAATGTCAAAGGAGGGCTTCGCAAAGTGCGGCTGTTAGGGTTTAGGGTTTAGGTTTCGAGGGTTGGGAGGGTTTAAGGCTGTTGAGTTGGGTTTGGAACAATTGCCGGGTTCAGGAAGGTTTTGGAGGGTGCTGTGGGACATGAGGGCTTACGGGTTTGAAGCGGCCGGCATAGTCGGCCAAACCAGTCCTCTTGCAAGCCGAAAGTCAGTTGCTGGCTGCTGCTGCTACTACTGCTGCTATCGCTTCAACAAAAAGATTATCAAGACTTATACAATCGTCGTAGTACTGACGGACGACCGGCAGAAGTATTTCAACGTTTGCGCGGTCCACATATATGTACACACAAATAAAGTCCATACATACAGACATCCATACATACATACACATACATGTATACAGTGGAATATGTATGTGCATATGGGTATAATCATATATATATATATGCATATGTATGGGGAGAGAGAGAGAGAGACAG